GTTTTAGCAGCAATAATTGCTGCTTATAATGCTGATTTAGTGCTGGAATTAAGTCAGATATAGTGGATATGTCTTCAGTATTAAAAAGCTTCAAGATATACTGAAGGTTTGAGTTAAATATTTGTAATCGCTCGTCTTACATTACAAATTCAATTCTTGAAACTTAATACCTGACTGATTAGGTACTACGTGCATACAAAATCTTCCTTTTTCTTTGTAAAAATCAACACGACAGTAAAAAAATTTTGGAAATTAGAAGAAAGAAAAAGCAAAAGTTTCCACAGTCTTAAATGTTTTATTTGTGTTTATCTCCTGAATAATATTTTACTAATAAGATTTTTGGTCTACTTTTTCAGGTTTAAAATTTTGCTTTTTTAGATTATCGACTGCAGTGTTTATCAACAAAACAAATAGACAAGTTTTGGAAAAACCTTTGGTAAATCAATGAAATACACAAATCTAATTTTATTTAGGTATTATTTATTAAACTTTTTCTGACTGACACTGTTTTACCGTTTCTTTTTTTGAATAAATAAATAATAAAAAAAAAAAGAAAACAAAAGAAAGAGCATAAAGGGAATGAACAAAATTCCTGTTTTGAAGGTTAAAGATGGCAAAAAAATTTTTGTGTGTTTTTCTTTTTTGTTTTGGTAATTCAGTAACAGAGAATTAAGTTTTAAGTACAGAGAAAACAGTACCATAAAATAAGAGAAGTAAAATTTTATACACATTAATTTAATAGTACATTTATTAATTAGATATTTGACTAAATAAATGAAATATTTGAAGCAGAGAAAAGCTGTTAAGCCATAGGTTCGACCAGTTCAACTGACCGCGTTTTTTTGCTTTACATATTCCTCCAGCAGATGACTAGTGAAAAAGTCTGTCCAATAGCATGCTGGATTTATTGTGCATGAGCTCACGATGACAGACAATAGCGGTCGGTACAGTGTCGGTGAAAGCGAAACTTCTTCAATCAAAACTTTGAAAAACGATGCTGTACGCTCTAGGATTGTGAATTTTAACTGCTGTCCTACACGTCATGGTTATATTTTTTATTTTTATAGCAAGCTTTTCAAGTTCTGTAAAAAAAAAAAATGGCTATAAAAGTAAAAAGCAGAAGTAAAAGTTGAGAAGAAAATTTTTTGGTAACAATAAGATCTTATTTCAGGAAAAATTTTATTGTATTTTAGTATACAATAAAAATTTTTTTTTGTTTTCTTTTTTTTTTTTTTTTTAAA